GTCTGTACATACATGATAAATTGCCATAATCACACAGAGTTTATCCCTATTTGCCAGATTTTCAGGTGACTGATCATTTCTCAGTTATATCTGAAATAATTAACAAACCTGTTCCTTTCTGATAGAAATAAGTACGCTCTCCTCCTGAAAAGTCAGAGACAATTCGTCAGATTCTGCTCCAGAGTTAACCTCAACATCCAGTCGTTCCTCGAGGCAGTGTATTCCTGCTGCTATCCTACCTGAAATGTTGTCAATTATAATAGCCTATCATGGTCTGGATAAAGAATAATGTTAGCTATGTGTATTTTCAACTGGTTATTTTCCAGGCACTTATCATATGAAAAATGGATTGGCCGTAAGTTAGAAATAATCAAGTCACCTGGCTATATAATATTGAATACCTGTTATTTTGTAAGAAGATGATCTATCGAGCACCAGTGCCAGGATACCGTCTCGATTGAATTTTATACTGTAGTTGTTACTGTTCTTCATATAAACTCTCAGTTTCTGAAATGTGTGGCAACTTTAATCTTCGGATTTAAGGTATTTCCAACACGAGAGCCCAGTTTCCATTGTCTCATCATGCCTGGTAGCAAAATCAAAAATTGCAGTGCGCAAATTTTATTACTGCACGCGAAGTTCGGTCATTCAAAACATCCAAGAAAATAATTCTAAAAATAATATTTGTTACCACGGTGGATGATATCATAACGTCGTTGATTTCCTTACTACAACCATTTTTATTAGTCTTCTTGCAGGACATGTAGGATCCCCCTATGAATTAAAAATTTTTAAAAAACTCAACTCTTTTCTGAATTCACGATCCCAACTCTCATCCAAAGCCTTAGTAAGTAAAATTTTCAGTTCAGAGTTGGTAGAATCAGTGGATGAACCGTAAAATTTTGTGAGAGAAATGTCTTAATAGTCTGCTTCTTTTTATTTTTGGCTTTCTACCAGTGTCTATACTGACTTCACCTTGTCCGTGATTGGTCCGTGAATTCATCAGTGATCAGCATAGATTTTAGAAATTGATGAACAAATTATTCCACAAAAAACTCTGAAGAAAACAATTCAAAAATTCCTCACCTGCATTCCAAGCCAGTATGTTTGGTTGAGGAGTACTGTAAATAGGATCGTTTTTATCCCTCTCAAATCCCACTGATCCTCTCAAGACAAATAACAACCAGAAGTAAAGATTTACCATTGTGCTAATAATATTAAATTGTATTATCATCACGGTCTAATAAGTCTGTTACAATGACAGAAGAAAATCTACTTAAACTTTTGAAAACTAAAAACAGAAGAATTTGCCGAAACCATCTTGAAGAATATAAATACGACAGTATGTCACAATCAATAAGGTGAGGATGAGACGACAGCTGGTGGTCATGTTTTATAATTGGAGCTTGTAACTGAAAGCTGGTTTCACTTAAAGATCCTGCCTTCCAGGCTGTGACAATTAAACGCTCCTTACTTCGCCAGATGGTGGGAGATTCGTGTCGGTTAACCATTTGAAATGTCCTCTACCATCTCTCGAGATATCATCTCCATGTGTTACTACAACCAGCCAACCTGATGCTTTAAAATGTGTTATTTAATGCTCACGTGACGTCTACCAGACCACGTGACTAATCAATGACAACTGTAACCATGGTAACTGCTCCACAGCACTACTACTGGGGGTTTGGTGTATACTAAATTATTATGAGTATAACAGATGTGCGGCAGACTTGCCTCAGGATTTCTTTCTCTTGGGGTTACCATGTCAACTTATTTTGATTGAATGGCCTGTTCATTCAGGAACAATGTTTCAAAAAACAGTTTATGTCACCAATCTGTGCCTCAGCAAGGTTGAAACAGTACCCTATAGCATCATTATCTTTTTAAATTGAGGCAATCTCAATTTGGCTAAATTGGGCCCGGATTTGGCAAAATTGGGCCTGGGCCCTGGAGTCTGGGCCGTGAAACCCTCGAAAGTCCGTTCACAAGACCTTTTTTATAATAGATTCTTGGACATTTCAATTTTGAATATTGATCCCTCCCTTGGTATTATGCCAAGAATCTTAGACAAATATGACGACGTTGACCATTGTAACTGTAGACATTTAACCGAGAATCCACCCGACCCAGTAATATATATTTACGTATAGCTTCATAACTTCCTATTTTACTAAGAGGTTTACATCAGCAATCTCCAAGGAAAGGTCACGTGAAACAACACGTGATAGACCACGTGGCCAACAGAGCTCCCCAAGAGACTGCTTTAATATCGTGATTGCTTCCAGATTGTGCAATCAGAGATTAAACTCTCTCCTAGCATAGTGAAAGTGAAAGTGAATGTTACTCTATGGCTTATGAGGGAGTCAGTATATAATCGTCCCTTAGTTGCAGCGCAACTTGAAGTAATATAGCTACAAGCTAAGCATAATCATTAATCAATATTCCTATCATGATCAAAGAATTTAAGATCAAAGAAGATGTGCCTAGCTGATAGATTGGTGTTCAGCTTCTCTTCACTCTTACTATTTTATAAAGCGAATATGACATTTAGGACAGCCCTCTCGCGCAATATGATCTCAACTAATTCTCGAGAAACTGCTCTAGAGAAATAAGTAGTGGTTTAATTCGTGATAACGAGAATATAGTGCTATATATAGCACTAGATTTTCTCGTTATCAACTATACCTTATCTGTCATGATTATCACGGACATTACTTGCACGCGAAAGACCAATTAGCGTGAATAATTATGTCCGTGTGTATCCCTACATATGCGTAGATATGTGTGTAGCCGATAACTATATTAGCTTATTAGTATACTAGGACAAATATAATCACTCCTCAGTCACATTCAAGAGTTCAGAAAAAGAGTAAAACACTTATTAAAAAATCACCAAAAATGTTCACAATTGTTTGGATATTTTTGGGCGATCATGAGCGTGAATGATTATGTCCGTGAAAAATTTGGTCTGTGAAAAAGTTGTCCGCGATAATTATGACCGATAAGGTAGTTGATGTGGTGATATTGAATCTCACTTACCATTTAATTGTGTGCTGTGGCTACGAGCTATGTGCTCTTTTGGAGGGCTTCGACGCGCCGCGCGAACTAGCATTCTTGCTTTCTTGCTTCGCATCGTCGATCGTTGCTCTGCTTCGCAAAGCAACGATCTCGATGGGTTGACATCGTCAATAAATGTGCTCTAAAGTACCGGTGGGGATCAGGCGACACATAACAGACACTAACTATCTTCTACCATCAATCACGTCCCATAAGCAATAAGCACAACTGTCACGTGTCAAAACATATAATATGCTTCACCTCCGGTCCCCACCAATATTTAGATCCGTTTCAAAAGTATTTCACAAGTCACAATTATCAATTACGGATTACCCTATATTTATTTCACTTGAACTAAGGGATTTTTCGAGGTTTTTTTTGCCACAATCCCCAAACTTTTGAGGCACGAAGTATTGATAGTGTTCATTACAGGTATTAGGATTCAATAATGGTTCACATTATACATACTACATAGCTTTTACAATTTCTCTAAAAGAAGCCTTCCGACGGCCGCACCTTAAGTTCGGGATCCGGGATATGGTTTGCTGTTTCTAGTCAAAATACAATCAAGCATGTATAATGCTCCTCCAAGTCTAAGTCTAAATTAGCTACTCGCGAAGGTGAAAGCGATCATAGCCGGCCGCTAAACACTGTAAATGCAATCCTTTCTCCTTGCAGCTGACATCACCACACCAACCATCACCATACCAACCATATACTCATATAATTATCCTGGCGAGCCTGCAGAGTCACGTGATGTGGATTGCTTGAGGTCACGTGATCCCAACTCTTACTGTCACGTGATCCCAACTCTTACTGTCACGACGTCTCAGCTGCCACCTGCTGTGATCAAAGTGAAAGTGGGTTATTTGTCACGTGTGCCCCCGTCAAAGTGAAACCAATTCTGTTGCCTTGCTCTCCCTTTCTCTCTCACTCTCCCTCTCTCGCTCGATGGTTTAGCGATACCATTAAATTTGATGGTTATATTGCTTCGCTTGCGTCGAAATTATTAGAAGTTACTTCGAGTAGCTGGAGTAAGTTTGGTGATTTCTGGGGCCTACACCGATGATTATTAAATCTTTATAGTTCGTAATTTACAAGTCCGCAATAGATTTTCTGTTACGCATAGGTTAGCCCAGTTTTATACTTGTGTGAGTGTGAACGACTAACTAATTAGTGTTTAATCTAAAATTCTTCAATATTGTTAAGAAAATGCCTGGCTGCTATGTTGACAGGATTCATTCTACAGAAATATAGTGCAGTGCCCCCCCCCCCCCCCCCCCCCCCCCCCCCCATGATCTAGAAACACACGTTTTTAGAGATTTTACCGGCATATCCTCTAAAATCATCTAATTTGTTCAATTTTAGGGAGGGGCGCCAAAAGGGGAGGGGTTGCACCAACAGCTTCAACAGGCAACGTTAAGCCACTGATATAGTGTATTATAGTATGAGATAATCGATCAATAAGTCAAAAATAGATTTGTAATACTGCATTGTCAAAAAAAGTAATGATAAACTATATATATTTATCATTATTTTTGAAGCAGCAATAAGCTATTTTTAGATTATGTGCTATATATATATAGCACATAATCTAAAAATAACTTATTGCTGCGTCAAAAAATAACACAGAAAGTAATGTATAACAAAAAGTATAATTTTGTTTAACTTACCGCTCTTTGACTTTGCGCCATTATCGCATATAAAGGAAACGTATATATGGCACAGTTGATTGTCATTGTGGTGGTGCAGTTTTTTCGATGATCAGATGAATATTGAATATTTGCCATCGCCATCCCATTCGATTTCATTCATACTCGCGGCTCGTTCAATTTGTCCAGAAGAACAGATGTCGATTTCAAATAACTTTTTTATTACTCCATACTCAAGTTATACTAATAATTACAATTCAAATTATGCTAATCCACTGTCCATTGATTTAAGGTCAAGTCATCAAGTCCCGAAATGAAGCTGATACTCTGCCTTGGAACTTTACTGCTATGTTTGAGTGTTGTGTTCTCGGATGGCGATGAAACAGGTGCCTCCGGTAAGACAATGATTTTTATATCTTTTATCGATATTGTTTGCTGGGTGGTATTGGGATAAATCAAATCATATTTCTTCCAAGCCCATTCAGGCCCTGTGATATACGCATATACAATATAATCCCCAAATCGTCGCGCTATTGCACCGACGAACTTTAACAATCTCTATCAGTTATTATATCCTCAGAAATTAAAATTATCTGTCAATAGTATTAGTGGAAGCTGATTGGTTTATTGCTGCCACGTGTCAAAACATATGCCTCCCCCCCCCCACCAGAATCCACATATATCAAAAAATTTGTGACGATTAACCATCGCAGATCGAATTAAATTTTCAGATGACGAACAAAATTCGAACTTAATCTTCGCCAACGTCTAGTTCACGAGTATTATTTTCGATGTCAAGTCAGCAAAATAAAATCCATCCGATATATAGAATCAACTTCCTGGACACTAACATATTTTAGTTTTCACTTAAATTATAACATATTCATATAGCTTTTATAAAAGTTTATGATAGCACCTTCTAACAGGAGGAGCGGGAGATGATGCTAGCAGCGGGGATGCCGATGGTTCTGATGCAAGTGGAGCTGCGGATACTGAGGCAGATGGAGCTGAGGACCCGGCTGGGGAAGGTGAGGGAGATGCTGGAGCTGCTGAGGGTGGAGCTGACAACGAGACAGATACTGGAGCTGGCGGTGATGAAGCCGGTGGATCAGGTTATTGTTACTTTTAATTCAGTTACTTCAAATGTTCAAGCATGATTGCAATTTGCACATTGAAATTGGAAAGTTTTACTTGATTAAACAAATTATTCTGTTAGTTTAGAGTGTTCGTTTGTATTGTTGTAAGAAAACCTCCCAACAATACTTACAACCTGGCTGGATGAGAGCCAGATATTCGGTATTCCTTACTTTTTCCTAAGCAGCATGAGCCGGGGAAGGGGGTACAATTTCTGACCCAAACTTGTTTTGTTTTGAAACCCCACGGTGGAGGTTGGCGTGTGCCGCAATTTATTGATCAATGGTTATTACATAAATGAAATTATAGAAGTCACACTAAAATATAATAATGTAAAATAAATATATTAAAATAAATGCCCTACTAAAAGTACTATATAACTAACGGTCTGCAAAACTGGTTGAAGTCGCAATTTGTAAACATGCTAATTACTATTTAATAATAATAGATAAAAAGTTTTGCGCGGCAGATGTAAATTCGGCATTGCATAATGGCAGTGAAATTAAAATGATATGTTGTTGATAAAAGATCATAGTCATTTGTCGCGAGTGATCTTTCTTTACGCGGTGTCGCTTACTAACTCGGTGCTGTAGTCTATTTGCGAGCGCCCTTCTCTTTGAGACTTTCTTAGCCCAGGTATACTATAAAGTAAGAAATTTGGCCAATTTTCATCGTCTCCTGAGCTTTGCAGCTTGAGGAGTTCGCGCTTAGCTGAATTTTTAAAGATTTCAATTGAAAAGGTAGAACTTGGAATAGTTATATCCTTACTTTGCTTTGTAATAGAGAGCATGGGTCCTTTGAAGAAAAGAGTATTTCTAAATGTTGGGCCGTTGTAAGTTGTGAACCAAGAAAGGTTATGTTCGTATGTGGAATTATAGGTGGGAATATCGTGAGGGAAAAGTTCTTTGATGGATTTAGGGAGAAGGCTTGGCATGTTCCTTACTTTGTGTAGTAGAATAAGAGCGTTTTTTACAATGACGCTATGGACTGTTAGGATATTATGCAATCTAAACGCACTTTTTGTGTGCTCCGGGGGATTGCCGTCTTTATATCTATAATTTACATATCCTGACATAACAGCTCTAATTCCCTGCTTTTGCTTGGTGAACAGAGATTCAATGTGACATTTTGAGGCAAATCCCCACACTAAAGAACAGAAATTTAGATGGGATTGGATAAGGCTTTGGAAAATGTTTAGGCGGGCTTTGATAGGTAGAAGGTGCTTTAGCTTATACATAACTCCGAGGTAGCGACCCATCTTTATTCTAACGGCCGTAATGTGTTTTTGCCAAGTGAGCTTTTCGTCTAGGATCACTCCTAAAAATCTTGCTTCAGTCTTACGTTCGATTACAGTGTTGTCAATGGACAAATTAAAGCCGCTGAAGTCGATTCTTTTTCTAGTGAAAATCATGTAACACGTCTTTTTTACATTTAAAGATAGCCCATTAACACCTACCCAATCTACAAGACGTGAAATTAGCTGATTAGCTTTTAATTGTATTTCTTCTAGGGTGGTTCCACTAATTAATATGTTTGCGTCGTCGGCATAAAGGATGAACTTTGCAAAATCACTAATTCCAGGTAGGTCGTTTATATAAATTACAAATAAGAGAGGTCCTAAAATGCTACCCTGAGGTACGCCGTAAACTATGGGCATGCTAGAAGAGCAAGTTCCGTTTAAAGTTACGTATTGAGATCGATTACAAAGGTAAGATCTAAACCATTCGTGCGCGACTCCCCTGATCCCATAATGGTCAAGCTTCTTAAGCAAGGTCTCATGATCAAGCACGTCAAAGGCTTTACTGTAATCGAGCAGGAGCAGTAGGGAAATTTGTTTTTTATTCAGAGAGTGTAGTATAGAATTTTGGGCATTGAGCAGTGCATGTTCGCACGATCTTCCTGGCCGAAATCCGTATTGATTTTCGAAAAGAGAATCGTTCTTATCTAAAAATTCTAAAACACGAGCATGCATAAGTTTCTCATAAATTTTCGAGAATGATCCCAAAAGAGAGATCGGCCTATAATTAGCTACTTCCAATTTTGAACCACCTTTGTGGATAGGAACGACTTTCGCAGTTTTTAGAGCATTTGGGAAGGTACCACTGGAGAACGAACAGTTAATGACATTAGCTAGTGCCCTGGTAAAGTTTTCGCAGCTGTTTGCAATTTTCAATGGCTCAATTTTACAATCGAGTGTGGACTTGTTCTTAAGCCCTGATATTATCTTTTGGACTTCACCGTGTGATGTAGGCTTAAGAAACATCGAGTTACTACACGAAGCCTTAAGAAAATGCTTGAAACCACCTGGGTCAAAGGTTCGACGGGCAGCGATTTGCCTCTTGATACTGGCTGCAATACCGGAGAAGTAGCCGTTAAATTTCTCAGCGACTGCCAGATCGGAGCTTATAATCGTGCCATCGTCGTCCTTCAGACGGGTGTGTCCGAACTTTTTTCTGTTACGGTTCAGGAGGCCATTGATAATTTTCCATTGACTTTTAGAGCAGTTTTGGTATTTGTCAAACATTTTTTTATAGTACTTTTCTTTGGCTAGATTCACATGTTTGTGACAAAACTTTTTCATTTTATCATACGCGTCGCAGTTTTTTTGTGATGGATTTATAGTTTTTTCAAAAAAAAGTAACTTCTTGCGGTTGCATGCCGCCTCAAGCCAGGGTAAGATCCAAGGCTTTGGGTCAGCTCTTTCGAATTTTCTTCTCGTACTGTTGCGCTTCAAACTAACAATTTAGCAATTTCAGATGCGATGAAGGTCATCACGAGTGGATACTTGCTTCTTATCCCTCTAGCTGGACGATACTTCGTATAGAAACACGGACTATACGGACAGCTGATCATGCTTTTTTAGACTCTCTCTCTCTCTCTCTCAAACTACAGAAAATATATATTTGTTTGTAATCGTTTTGATAAGAAAAAATTAGTTGAATCTAAGCTACAAGTGCCAAGCAGTCATAATTTTTGCTGCCGAAGGGCTGGAATGTGCACATATTCTAACATTTCGTAAGCAATGCTATGTTGTCGACACAGTCTTTCAAAATTAGGGCTGGCTATTGTGTGTGTGTGTGTCTTAATGGGTATTCCTTGAAAACTTTTTTTTTTTATTAATTCAATTTTGGCCTACTTGGGGTTATTTTCTAATGAGGCACTCTATGCTCGTTTGTTATTCCACTCCCTTGTCTGAGAATCCTCTAAGTTTCGATGGAGAATGGTTAGGACAGATCTTACGAGGACAGGAAGCTCACCAGCTACACCCTAAGTTATTTGCTAGAAATTACGATATTTTTATGGAAGGGAGACGGGGTAGACCATGTTAAACTTATTAGATGTTATTAAAAATAGACTTGACTATAAAATTCTTGATATTAGACTTAAGAATTTGACTGATTTCGAAGACCTTAGATTTTTGCTTTAGATAGGGAGGATGGAAGAAGTTAGAAGATGGTATGATGTTTTTTGGTTTTCTTTTTATGCGTTTTGGATATCTATAGGTGCCTAGTGCTCTTTTAAAGAGATATTTCCGACTTTGAAAAGATTTACTACTACTTACTATAGTTATAAGGCTTAACTGGTCACATGTGATATACTCACTCTACCACTTAAATCAAATTAAACACAGTGTCCTGCGGAAATATTATATAATGAATAATGAACTAGAACGAAATCCAACTATGAAACACAGCATACACGTGCAAAGTTTTTGTAAAGATTAAACCGGTTTTAGCTAAAATAAAATCATACTGCTAATAAACTGGCCGAAAATTAATTTGAAAATTATCCTTTGAACTAGTAACGAAACTTTACACATACTGTATTAGAACCTTATTTTATGAGTTGTAAATAAACCAATCATGATCCTATTTTAGGATTTCATTATTGCAGCCATTATAAATTAGATTTTTTGCATCAATTATCAATCAAATTGGTAACGGATGACTCGCTGTAACTTAATATAACGATTTTTTTCATATTCTCAATTGCAATAGCAAAGGTTACTTGTTTGATTAAATTAACATCGAATTGAATGCAGCTTTAATATTTATTGGTGACCATGTCTTAAATTCTCCAGATGAAAATTATATATTTTGAAAATCAATTATTTCTTCTTGAATATTACTTAAACAATGGCAAAAAATCAACAAACGATCATATTTTAATATGCCCATAAAAGAAACCATTTTCTGAGTAATCATGCACAGTTCATCTGAAAATTTCCGAGCACGAAGAGAGAAAAAAGTGTGGCCAAACTTTCACGACAGTATTGAACAAATATAGTTTCACGCAATATTGTTTTCTCATTTTTAGAATATAAATAATCCTTGGGAGGGTATAATACCGGCCAATCTAAATCAATCCCAGTAGATAAACCATGCTTGACAAATGATATATGTTAAGTGCAAGTGGTAAGGGTGTGCAGACTGGTTGGGAAGTTTATCATTAACTAAATGAACTTTGTTTTCAAATTTAATCAATGACATACATACTATTACAACAGGTTCTAAGAATCTGATATTTATTCAATCGGAGATTTAAACATTAATTACAAAGATTATTTGATTAAAGGTCGTCAGCTCCTTTAGTGGAACATGTAACATAACACTAAGCATATTGTGAGATTCCAGCTATAAATCCCTAGCTTAACTTGATTTATTCTACTCGAAATTACGCATTCTCAACTAGTTTGCAACATACTATCTGGAAACTAGTGATCGTTTAAGTAAAATGTTCCAATGCATTTTCATCGCTGCCACACAAAAGCCTTGGGCAAAGACTTATGATTAACCCTAAGGGCTTGTGTCGCGGTAAGGAACGGGAAGGGGGTCAATCATCGGTAAAAACGACGTATTATATAACTCTACATTCAAGTGAGCTTCCCTTCTCCAAAAGCTTGCGGTAACCATGTGCAGTACCGGGTGTCCGTTGTGGTAACCATTGTTGTGTGTCACTTCAAGATTAAAGCAAACTGATAAAATTTGTCCTGACTAAATCTTCAAGGTTTCACCATACAGCGAAACCAAGGGGTGAGATCTCACATATCCTTCATTTTTGAAAGTTCCCCCAGCTCTGAGGATCCATCTCTTTGTGTTGATTGGAAAGGTCCTCCAAGCATGTCTGAGGGTGAGCAATTTTGGGCTCCAAGGAGGATTCTTGTGAGGAGAAAATTCTTCGTTTTCCTGCTACCTCGAGAACGGTAACTTCTCTGAGAACTGAAATACATCAAAACACAAACTTCTCCACATCTTGGATACCATTGATCTCGGTTGGCAGAACTCTTCTCTCTGAACGGTTGATAGTGGATTTTTCTTTTCTAGCAACATGATGAATGTGTTGGGATTCTTTTTCCCTCAATCACTTTTGTTAGAAAACTATTGGGGGAAATAATGATTGCATTGTTCCTTGAGAGAATAAAATTTTCCTTCACTGTCAACCATATTTGCGGTCTCCTTTGAAATTTCGGTATATTCGACTACTGTCCCAGGTCCCATTACATTCACAAAATTTCACCAAACAGCGTCAGGGGGATGCTTTGCTCACTACTTTTGCTCCACAGTCCGATTGTCGATCAAGGCAGCATCAATGAAAAGTGGATCAGGGACTTTGTTTAAAATGGTTATCAATACACACTAACATGTTCCTCCTGACACCCTTTTTGGAGCAGTCCTGCTGCACCCCAGTCATTTCCCATGGACCAATACAGATCACCAGTACCACCTGGTGCTCGAGCGATCGAAAACTTGCTGTCCATTATCACTTTTCCATCAAGAATAAAAACAAGGATCATTTCTTTTTCAAGAAGAGATATGTTCTTCAGACAAACCAAACCAATCCATTAGTTTGAAGTAGTCAAACATGGCTTTCTTGTATGTTTCACTGGCATTATGTACCATCTAATATCTTTTGGGAGATCCCGTTACATTTCACTGCCAATTGGTCTTGCTTACGTACTCGCTCAGCCTGTAATTGATAAACCACTTGCCACTTTTGCAATCCAACATTGTACATTCCCTTTGAGGATTAAGGGACACCAGACGTGTACCCGGACCACCAGCCATTAGAAGCATAGCAAACTTTCCCTGCACTTATCGCTTTCAGCCCGCGTTAGTCCACTTTCATTGATCTTATTTAATGAATCACTTTCACATGCCTCAGGGGGTAGTGCGTGAGATAATCCTCTTTTCCAGTGCAGAGAGTTCATTTGCATACATCTTTTAAAAGATCTTCAGTTGTTGGTAATATCAATCGACCTGTATATCCGAATAAAGATCATCTTTTGAGCTGATGATAGGTCCTTCCCAGTGAGCTAAAAGATGTTCCTGGCCAATGGTGCAGCCAAGGAGACTTCAAGATTGCTATGTCTTCTCAGATAAGTCATCCTTGGAAGGAAATCTGAAAATGATAATTTAAGAATATAGATTTTACTTGGTCTTGCTACCAACAATGAAAAGCTGGCATATGGAAATAAGCTAATCAAATATCCATTTTCATTTCAACTTGTATTTAATAGTATCGTGCATATCTATGACTAGCAATTCCCTGCGCAGACTGCAATTCTTATTTACTGATACTGGTGTACTGCCAGAATATAGAATAAATCAAATCATATATTTAACCCGTGACAAAAGACTAATCAGTAAGAGAGGGAACTTCATGGATAGTTTCCTTAAAGTACTTAGAGGGCATTTTTTAGAGGGCAGTGGGCGTAACGTACCTGTTGGCGCCCCTGCCAAAATGCGCCCTCCCCCCCCCCCCCCCTGTGGCGGCCCCCTCCCCCTTTTGGCGCCCCTCCCTAACATAAAGAACAAATGTAGGTCAGTTTAGAGGATAAGGCTGGTAAAATCTCTAAAATGTGTTGTGTCCCAGAGCAAAACAACACAGTTTTGCTAGACCTCAGTTAAGTTTTTTTCAAATTGTCCCACATCAAACGAACGATGTTGCCCCTTAGGATGGCGCCCCCCCCCCCCCCCCCCCTCCCCACACAAGCGGGTCACCATCGGGGCCCTTCTTACGCCACTGGGCGGAGGCTTAGCAACCTAAAACGAATATTTTTTTCTAAAGCAGAATTTTTAAAATACGTTTGCAACTTTCAGAAGGAGAAACTTGGACCTCTGTCTAGATATTAATAAATCATCTTGATCTTTAGAGTATACTTAAACAGGCTACCTGCAGCATGAACTGCACAACGATAGGCAGGCTGTCAACTTGCAGCTAAATGAATATATTACAGTATTGATGGAGCACCCATGCCCTATGTCTAAATGAACAGGAATTAATTGTCCATTGAAAGGAATAAGGATTCCATATCAAGAGCTACTTGAACACTATGTTTTAATCATGATTGATTTTTATTGCTAACTTTGCACTTATGGCTAAACTAAATTGGTAGTGGCCCAAGATCCTCCGGAGCCTGGTACCGTGGGCCCTGCCGTAGCCAGGAGTGGACTTTGTTACAGCGCGACGGGAAAAAATTCTGATCTTCTCTTCTCAAGTATTTATAGCACATTTTTTATCTTAAACATATTGCCATCTTAAATCATGGATCACTTCACTTTCGCACTATTAGGTGATTCCGCTAAATTTTGTAACCAAAAGAGCTAAAAATCCCGGTCCCATCAAATTTGACTGATCCCGGCCAGTTCAATTGACAAAAAATCCTGTCCCGGTCATCCTGGTCAAAATTTATTATCCCGGTCTTGTTGCCATATGGAACTGCAGCCGATTAAAACTGGAACCAGCTGAGGAGGCGGCTATTGAGGGCGTCCAGGCGTCGTGGAACGCCTTAAAAGTATATCTGGTGCTGGTGGCTTAAAATAGAAATAGTAATTAGTAATAGTTTTTGGAAATAACAATCGCAATATAAAGGTCTTCATTCACTATACATGACGTTTTTATGTAAGCGCACGCATGATCTTGCGTGGAAATGTTGTGTTTTGTAGGGAGTCCAATCTACCTCTGGACTACTCCTAGGCCGCTCAGTTTTTAACACATAGTTATTGTAAACTTACAAAGCACATCGTGCGCATCCCACTACAGGTACTCAATTATGTTTTGCCTCGATTTGGGGGTCCAGGACCCTTTGCAATTGACTGCTATATGATACTACCGGCTGAGATCGTACGACTGGTGGTGTCCCGGTTTCACCCATGTTATAAGTTTTTGTTTTTTGTTTGCTGACGCCTGTAGATGGTTACACATTACTTTTACAAGGCCCTGTGTGTAATGTAATCGGTAGTTTGGAGGTATCGCTTTGTAGCGCGATTGCTTACGTGCGCGCCGCGCTACTTAAATATGGCATCTCACAGCGACGACAGAGGATGCGAGATGCGCTCTGTGCCGCGCCGAGCTGCCATGAATTGACATCGTCAATTAAGGATCAGCTTGACCGCTCCAAGCCCCCCTCCCCCCAGTCCAGCGATTGGACCCCCAACTAAACTGCCAGCCCCAGCGCCCACAGCCGCCTTCTGGAACCAGACAATCAAGGTTGGCTAGTACGGAATACAAAGAGTATTTGTTTAATTGCATCCTTTACTTTTAATCACCCTTTAAAGCCTTTTAAATGACAAACAGTATTTTAAAAACTCAGCAAATATTTGTTTGCACTTTGTGAATTTAAAGTAGGGACTGTGTACAATAAATAGATATTTCAAAACAAATATACACCCATTAAAGTGGAATTTAAGAAACATAAATTTAAAAATGCTATAACAATTAAGGTGGGGGGGGGGGGGTGGGGGGGGTGGGGGTGGAGGAAACAAACTAAATACTAGAAGACATTGATCCTTTAATAATTAAACCCACATTTTTACATACACGGAAAAGAAATTTTCAACTTGATCTGGCAGTTATTTTTATTTCATGAAATGGTGAATTGTCTCACTGCTATTTTTAATGGTTTAGTTAATTATACTTGTATAATTGACTTGAGCTTGATTACTGTTTAAGTTCGAGTTGTTTTTTATAAATTATATCAAAGAGTTAAATAAAGTTATTGTCCATTGTTAATAACTAGCCTATCGCGCACTATCTTCGTAGCACTCGAAAAGAAAAGCTGAGCGCGCTACTTCGAAAAAATTTAAACAGTAACTGACAGGTCCGTCATATCACAAATAAAGCAATTTTTATATAAGGGGTTTCGTAAAGCATCGGCGGTTGCGATTTGGCTATTCATTTCGCCGCAGCGGCAAATGTGTTTGTATGCATGAAGATGAGCAATGTAGAGCCTGGGCACTGGGAAATTGTAGCGGCGTTGCGTTTCTGGTGCCGCGCCGCGCACTTTAATAAAAGGCATCTCACGAGCGACACTGGCTTGATCGGCGAGATACGCTACTGTGCCCGCGCCGAGCTGCCATGAATTGACATCGTCACTTAAGGTACGAAAGTGTATAATTGATCTATATAGTTAGAGACGTTACCTGGGGACCCCAGGCTATTATTCATAAACAGTTTAAAGGATTTGGCGAATGAACAGGCCTACCGCGCGGCCCATAATGAGGAAGTCGTCACTTCGCGCGCCGCGCGTAATTGTCTGCTTGCCGTAGCTGACAAGATTGTTGCTATGCACATTTGTTCTTTGGATGGGTGGTATTGGGTAATTAATTATTTTACTCACAGCGAATCGCGGGGACACCGAATTGCTGAAAAATTAAAAACTTTAGATGAACTCACTGACTACCGACGTATTAATATTAAAATAACAATTGCATAATATTATTCGTGGAAAGCTGAGTGTGCGAGGTTTGAATTGGATCACGTCCGGACCCCCACGTTCGTGTTCACTTATATACGAATACAAGGACAAAGTTTAGTAGGAGGCTACATTGTTAGAATTAATTATTTAGGGACTCCAGGCAGAGTATGTTCATAATCATTTCCTGGGGACTCCAGTCTATTAGGTGCATAAACATTTCCTGGACCACCAGTCATTATGTTCATAATACATCCTGGGGACTCCAGCTTAATATGTTCACATACATTACCTGGGGACTCCAGGCTATGTTAAGTAATAAGTAAGTAAGTATGTAAGTAAGTAAAGTAAAGTATTATGAACATAACATCATCACAAGTGTCTACAAAATATCATTGCACTAACTAGAAAAATAATTAAATAATATATTTTTTCCTTCAACATTAATAATTTATCATGTTCAATTTTGTTTTTTTAATTTATTTTAAAAATCTAATACTTGATATATAAATATTTCATTTCATTAATACTGGAATAAAGATTTATAAAACGCTTCTTTGCCACAAAAGGATGAAACCAAAGATATTCATTATGTCTCTCCTTATTGCTTAAATAACTGGGTCCTTCAATTTTCCCTAAAACTTCATTCGAAACATTCCAAAAATAAAAATCATTTACACTGTTTTTAGAAATCATTTCTTTCTTAAATCCTTCCAATCTAACTTTAAAGCTTAAAACTGTCGAGCAGTTCTTGACATTTGAAGGGAGTTTGTTCCAATAAGGAATGACTCGCTCCAGAAGAAAAGAGAGATTGACTTTAGTTACACTCTTACTACATCTATTGGTTGAAACAAGATTAAGACCAGATCTGCTCATTCTGAACAAAGCCGATCTATATTTAGTCAAACCACTAGTTACTTTAAAAGCTTCAATAAGGTCCCCACGTATTCCCCGCTCTGCCAGCGTTGTCAAATTGAGGATATCCAGTCTACGGCTGTCAACACAGCAAGTCTCCTTATGAAACGCTTGGCCTCAGGTGCCATTCCTCCTGTAGTGGTAAATAAAAGGGGGACGAATGACCCTTTCTCCAATTGTAGCACTCAGTTCATGAACTAGTTCTTTTTCTCATTCTCGTGCAGCGTGTATAGCTGTGGCATGGTCTTTCCTTGATATGTAGGAAGAAAGTCCTCTCAAATGTGCTCCACACTCCTCTTGCTGATATATCGAGCCTAGCCTTATCACCATTGTTGCCCTTTTGTTGGAAGTTGGCTGATTCTATAGGTGTTTACATGGGCTCATTCCTCATATCCTTGGTCACCAGCCTAAGGGTATTCTGCAACTGAGTCTCACGTTGTTATGATGGTACTTCACATACCCCCCTCTCTTACAGTTGAGGATATGATTGTGATCATTCTTGGCTCCACAATCACAGAATATTGGGGTGTTAGGGATATCCAAACCATACCGGAGATGAATAGCATCTCGGAAGTCTTGCTTGCGGTAAGCATACCCTAGCTGTTGAATGGGGAGACATGTTGGCCAAGCTCCTGACCCATACTCTTGTACCAGCTGCAGTGACTCCCTGGTAGTCTCATCCACTTCACTAATTATCTCAGCGAGCTCCTTCCTCAAGCGTAATTCTTTAACTAACTTGAGGCTATCTACTCTGCCCTTGATCTTAATTTAATCCAACTTTATCAGGGATGTCTCCTGGCAATTATAGATGAGGTCAATCAGACATGGCCGAGGAGACTCATTTTTGGAATAACTTGATACCTGCCACCATGGACTATGAATGTTTCTAGACACTATCCTTTTGATATTGAGATATTGGTATCTCAGATCACGTGTACATCGTTCCTTTTCTATGACACAGTAATTTATTGACACTCACAGCTATAATTTTAATCATTGAATCAGTATTTTTATCTGTGCTCTGCGTAATGCATCACATGAATCAGTTTTTAATCTATTAACTTATTACACATTTGTGCTCGGCTTAAGCATCACTTGACTATTTAAAAAAATTGTTTGTTCAGGCCATGACCTTATAGTCAGCCAATTGGCCATTGCTAAAATTGAATGTATTTTATTCAATATTTTATCTTTTTGGAATACTGTTTGGTACTGCTCGGCCATGGCCGAGGAGGTTTATTTTCTCGTAATATTGTTTGGTACTGCTCGGCCATTGCCGAGGAGACTCATTTTCGGAATTGCTGTTAAAAAAAAATTAAAAATGACACTCCTCGGCCACCATACCTATGTTATTTTGAGTGACGTCTGGTATTCCTTCTCCACGATCTCTACTGGATTAACAATAATACCAAGCCCCCTAAATCTAATACAGGTAGCGCATTCTCCTGTGCAGGTCGGACACGTTCCTACCAATAATTGCCGGAATGAACTTTAACTTTTCTCTTATTACACTTCTTTAATGGGACGAAGAGGTCTTTAGTATCTTGGATGGTACACATCACAAAGGTCCACCTATGACAGAGGGCTTTGACATAACTTGATAGGGCTAGCTGAGGCTCATCAAGGGTAAGTTCTGACTTACTGGGTTAACGGGTGATACTCGTAAAATATTTGTTTCAAATATTACTGTCGACGAGTCCAAATCGGCGCACGTCTTGGTAGGTTACAAACTTACAATTACTGGGCGGCGCTCAGCCTGTCATTACGTTACTGGGCCGCGCTCAGCCTGTCATTCCGCCAAATCTTTTATGTTTATGAACATAATAGCCTGGGTCCCCAGGTAAGTCATTACGCCAAATCTCTATTAACATAAATCTCTATTAACATAAATATAATATTCGATCCTGGGGTCCCCAGGTAATTTGTAACAACTCTTTTACATTTTTCACCCATTTCTCTACTTTTATTTATTTTTTACTTTTATTTCTTTTTTACATTTGTCCATTGTCAATAATAATACAATATTGAATATACACTTAGTGAAATTACAACAATGGGGGTCACGACGTGATACAATAACATGCTTATACGTTTTTGTTTTATGAGTAAGCTGTGGGATTATTAAATAAGCTATACTAATGATAGGTGGTATGACACGGTGACGCGTGACACAAGCATCAGCGAAAACTGGTGTGACGAAGCAGATGTTAAAGCAGAAAGAGACAGTTATGAGTTCAAAGTTTTCTTCTACTTCCTTACTGAGCCTAGCATCACTGAATGCAAAAGGGCTCTCTAAGACGGAGAAACAGGAAGAACTCGGAACGGATTGTTTTGAATATAGTGTTGATATCTTGTGCGTTCAAGAGACAAAAGTCAAAAATCATTCCACTAGATATCTCAGAAACAATTACAAATTGATCATGATGGAGCAAAATCAAGGACGACATGGTGGACTAGGTTTCATCATAAGTCCTAGATTACTACCTTATGTCACAGACTATCAGTATACCTCAGACCGGGTTTCCTATCTTAATGTCGTCATTCCTTCTAATCTCTCATCCCATCCTAAAAATATCAGAATTGTTAACGGTTATGGCCTGACTAATCCTAAAGCAGAAGGAAACCCTGCCCTTCTTAGAAAGTTCTACAGAGAACTCACCCATGCTATTTCAGTTCCTGCATCTCATGAATTGTTTGTTTGTGGTGATCTCAACAGTAAGTTGGGAACCTTATCTCCTTTGGACTATCAGTATGGTGTAACAGAGTATATGGGCAAGTTTGGAATGGGTACAAGGAATTTCAACGGTGAACATTTATTAAACTTCATGTGCTTAAACAAACTGTTTGCTACCAATACCTATTTTGATCATCCTTGTAGACATCGAACTACTTTCTCTATGTGTATTTCTGCCAAAGGTCGCCCTAAAGGTAGCAAACTTACTCGTCCAGTCTTTGCCCAATTAGATTATATTCTGTGCAGAACACGCAGCAGATTCATGTTCCAAGATTGTAGAGCATATGGCGGTCTTGCTACTAACTCAGACCACAGACTCGTTGCTTGTAAGATCAAACTAGCCCCCTACTACAAAATCTTTCCTACAAAAAAGATAAGTTCAGTAGTTAAGAGATATAACAACTCCCTGCTCACCACTGACCTTCCCACCAAAGTCAAATACCAACTTTCAGTCGAACAGAAAGTCAACAACTCTCAGGTAACATCAAACCCTAATGATGATCTCACTAACCTGATGGATGTCCTTAAGACAACTGCTGATGAAGTAATCGGGACACTACCACGCTCCAGAAACCGTAACTTCAGTAGTGACTCAACTGTTGAAGCCCTTGTAAAAGAGAGACAAACCCTGCAAGCTGCACTTAACTGTAACAACCAAGTTGCTGACAGAACTCAAGTCCGTACAAGGATCAACAGGTTACAGAAAGACATCCGTAAGCATCTCAAGAACCTTGCTGACACACGTGCCGATGACATCGCTCGAACCATCATGTCAACAGATGACACAAGGCAGATGTTTGAAGCTGTGCGTACTCTAGCTGACACTAAGCCCAAATCTACTATCAGTGTCCACAATGAAGAAGGTAACTTTGTTGCCACAGATGCTGGTAAAGCTCAAGTGATCAGAGACTACTAAGAAAAGCAGTTCACGTGTGAGGATGAACCACTTCAAGCATTTATAGGGGATGGACATACCCATCACATGTGATGAAGTAAAGAAAGCCGCCCAATCTCTCAAGAACAACAAAGCCACTGGTCCAGATAAAGTCTACAACGAGTGGTTGAAAAATGCTGGTACAAAATTCTGGTCAAAATATGCCGAGATCATCAATAGCGCATTGGAGACCAATTCATTTCCTGATGTTATAGGTGAAGCCATCATCACCCCCTTACCGAAACCTCGCAAACCAGCTGGTCCTGTCACTAGTCTACGACCTCTATGTCTATCAAATGGTGCTCGTAAGATATTATCCATGATTGTACTGAAGAGAATTGAAGACAAAGTTGATGCTTTCACTGGTAGCACGCAGGCGGGGTACAAACATGGTAGAAGTTGTGGTGATCTAGTGTGGGCTGAGCGGATGTTGATATCGGTTGTCACGCGTAAACACTTCCAGTATCACAAGATGGGCATAGATATGTCTCGAGCATTTGACACAATCAAACGCCAGACTATACTTGACCTCCTTGTCAAAGCTGGATGCACAGACGACGACCTCAGGCTAGTAAGACTCCTCTTAACCAACACCATGCTCAAGGTCAGAGTGGAAGGAGAACTATCTGCTGTATTCGAGAGTCTTCTTGGGTCCTTTCAAGGTGACAGTCTCTCCGGCAAGCTTTTCACTCTTGTCCTAGCAGGAGCTCTTATAGAACTACGCCATCGACTAGCAGAGTCTCCCCCACACATACCCAATCCCCCTATTTCAAAAGAAGGTATGCCACTGGAGTCAGCGTATTCAGATGATTGTAACTTCATGAACGTGGAAAAAGAATCCTTAGAAGCTATCCTACCAATAGCTAAGGAAGTCTTCAAGGAGTTTAACCTGTTCATTAACACAGAGAAAACAGAATTTACCCATGTTTTCCTCGCTCCTGTTGGAGAAACAATCCCTGGTCGTGATGATACCATGTTACGTGGAAATGAAGATTGGCGGAAGAGTAAGATTCTTGGGTCATTGTTGTGTAGTGAAAGTGATATAGCTGCTCGATGCATTGCTGGTTACAATGCCTTCTATAAGTTCACCAAGATCTGGTCTCAGCAGAATATCTCCGTTACCAGAAAGATAGCAGTATACGAAGCCCAAATTGTATCAATCATCATGTACAATTGCAGTAGTTGGTGTCCTACTGCAAAGTCACTAGAAAAACTAGACATTTGCCATAGAAAACACCTTAGATCATTACTGAACATTTATTGGCCTCATGGAACAATATCCAATGCAAACTTATACATAAGATGTAACTCAGTTAAGCTATCAGATCGTGTCCCTAAAGCAAGGTGGAAGCTCCTAGGTTATATCTTGCGTAGTGCTGATGACTCCCCCGCTGCATTAGCGTTAAAGTTTGCTGTCAAACTGTACAACAAACTGTAAAGGGCGCGTCGGAGCGCATCGTAAGAATTTGTTCAAGATTATTGTGAATGATTTGACCCGTAGAGGTTTAAAACTTAACTCTTTGAATGATCTTAATAAGCTTAAGATATTAGCCGATGATAGAGTTGCTTGGAGAAACAAATTTTAACTCTAGCTGTCTTGATCTGTACTGATCACCATTTTAGGATGACTTGATTTTTTTTAGGGGTTTTGAGTATTTTAATGGTGTAAACAGTTTCTTAATAATATACTAATGATAGCTGTATGTATTTTACGCTAATGTAAATGTGTTTTATGCTAATTTTAAATAAAACTTATAATAATTAAACATAGCATAAAAATAATTTTTTGACGAGTTATATATAAGCTTGATTGACGATGTCAATCCGTCGAGATCGTTGCTCTGCGAAGCAGACTTCGATGCGACTTCGATGCGAAGCAAGAATGCTAGTTTGCGCGGCGCGTCGAAGCGGCGAAGTCCTCCAATATATAAGCAAATAACTATTTTGTCACCAGACACGCGCACTTGACAGGCATGTTAAAAGATATTTGAGCTGTTTATGCTTTAGCATTTAGGATTCGAGATAGTTTTGCTTTAAAGTAGTTGTGAAGATATTAATATACAAATTTGAAGTACAAATTTATTGTCGTACGTTGTATGACCCACCGCAAACAAGTGCGCGCGTTACTTGGCGGCATGACTCAGCCTGCCATTCCGTCTAATTTGTCTTTTTATGAACATGATAGCCTGAGGTCCCCAGGTAATACTAATATATGAGTTGGAGGACTTCGCCGCTTCGACGCGCCGCGCAAACTAGCATTCTTGCTTCGCATCGTCGTCGATCGTTGCTCTGCGAAGCAGAGCAACGATCTCGACGGATTGACATCGTCAATCAATATATGAGGCGAGCCGAAAAAGAAGAGTTGTGCAACGTGCGTATATGGTTTTGATTCACTATGTCAATCCTTCCCAGCTCGGTGAGGCCCAGTGGTGCATTTCGCCGATCTGCTGTGCATGCAGCATGGTTGCGAGAAGAACTATTTGAAGCGCGGCCCAGTAGTGCATCGCGCTACAAGTATGATCTTACCTGTACTGGGGACCCCAGGCTATTATGTTCATAAACAGGCTGAGCGCCGCCCAGTATGCAGTAAATATGATCGAATTAATACAACGGCCACGCGTAACTCTTCGAAGATTTCAAACAAATATTGTAATCGCATCGCACTACAAACCTCTGTTCAACAGTCTGAATCTGATTATTTTCAAATTATCTTTGTCCATTTTAATCTTTCGAAAATGAAAACTCATGTTCTTGTTTTAAAAATAAACAAATACAACGAATCACGTATACAACATTTCATGAATCACAATAAAATCCAACACCGATGATATTCTGAATCCAAGATAAAAATTTAGAAAATAAAGTACTTTCATCGAATTTGAAACTGATCCTCTAGAATGTAGAAACTGTGCAAATAAAACGTACGATTAGCTGCTGTTAGTCAATCATTGTTTCTCTACTGTTATCACGACTGATTATGAAAAACTAATTTACGATTTATATGCATTCACTTTTCACAATATACAGGGTGTCCCAATATAGAGATTTTTACTAACCAAATGAATACAAAATTTAGAATTACAATTTTGTTTTTCTTAAATATAAAACATGAGAAACGGTCTTGAACAATCTTGAATTTTCCATGCTAAAATAATGAAAGTTTCCTATAACAACAAATGGCGGTGAAACTTGTAAGTTCATTAGTTTACGAATCCCATCTTTGGACTGAACTTCAGCAATTATCTCACTCATCTTCAAGATCATCAGCGGCTGAAAGATGTTGCAAATTAAAGGATCATTAATACTAAGAGGTATAAAGAGCAAAAATTAAAATTAAAATGGAACTCAAAACGATAAGAGATCGTTGAGATATAGATCTGGAATCTGGACCAGTAAAAATACACAACACATACAGGTGTAGTAATACAGGTGTATTAACTACTGGTTCACCTACCGACCAGTATCCAGATCTATTATCGGTCAAGACGGGACGGGGTTTAGAAATACTTACCTTATTGTAGTTCTAGATACAAAATATGTGTAAGTGGCTTTTGTAGGACAGGGAGGAGAATGGGGTCTAAAATGTCTAAAATCCAGTTTACGTAATATATCAATATGAATATTCCCTGCAACTAACAATAATCGTGGAGGCATCATTCAGGGCTAAGTTTTCAGAGTAGTTGAAGTAATCATCCTCTTCGTGATCTGCAGCGTAGTCCTCTTCAACCAGCATCCTGTCATCTACTTGAGACTCTGTTGTGTCGTGTCGTGTTCTATCTGATACTACACTATCTAACCTGGGAATCGTGTATACAGTGAGTGTGGGTATTGAGGTTAGAGAGATTCTGCGAGTATTGTGCTTGTTATAGTGAAATTGCTGATCCACAATGTGAACTCATGATTATTGATTTTCTACTGAAATGATTTTTGCCAAAAGTGACGATACTTCTCGGATATGAAGGTGTTTTCAGAGCATTGTAGTTACCTTTCTTTTTTGGTATCGGTGGTATCTGTTTCCGTATCCCTCCTTATTCGATCTATCGTAGCGTCACATTCACTACCTAGCTTCTTCAGCACGTCATAATTTATCTGAAATAGTTAGATTGTAAAGTATATCTTGTTTCGCGACATTTTTTATGTTTGAAAACAGTACCAATTTTACAGTCAGATTACACGCTGTGAAAACATTTTTGCTTTCATCACTGATTTATGCGTGTATACATTCCCATAATTATGTTATCATTCTTACCTTAGTAGAGAGCTTTTTCTCCTTGATCATTCTCTCCATCGCTTCTGCAGGAGTTTTAGCAGTTCCCTTGTTCGCATTTAGAGCTCGCTGTACTCGTCGGTATTTCCGTTTAGGCCTTCTCTTCTCTTCTTCCTCCTTCTCCCTTTTCTTCCGTTCTTTCTCTTCTAAAAACTCATCCAGATCCGACTCAGCCCAATGAAAGAAAGGATGTCTTTGGAGGGAGAAAACAAAACGTTTCAAATTTCAAACCAATGACGCAAAATCGTTTCTCTTAATTTAAAGACTATAAAATATTTAAATCATCATCAACATACCGTCTCTTCTTTATTTCGATTTCCTTTGGAGTTAATATTAGATATTCAATCTCAGCGTCATCCACATCGGAAAATCCCCTGAGTTTATAAAAATAGTTACTTCTTAATAGCAAGTGAAGTTTCAAAATAAACAAATTTACGCTATTCGATTTATAAAGCCAATCTAGTTTAAAACCGTGTTTAAAGACGAACTTACGGTTTCCCTCCATTTCTAGTTTAATTTTAGCCTCCCTTCTTCACTTCATCCTGTGCTGCAGATACAGTTTCCTTCTCGTTAGGAGGATTAGCATCTCTTTTCTCAGCTCCCTCTCCGTCCAGGTAGTTAGGAATCAGACCGTAGGCTGTTCTGATACCTTGACCTTGTGCTCCTGATTCCGGACCGGAGGAGTTAGGTCTCTCACATTCTCATATTCTCACATTTCAACAGAGATTGCCAGCTTTTAATGGATTAGCTGGCCCGGAGTTCAATGTGTCAACAAATTAAAAGTCCAAGTATGCACCCAAAAAGAGGTACGAATAATCATCACCACAAAGTGAAAACAGTTCCACTCCAACTAACCAGAAGTGCTACAGCTAGGAGTCTTCTCCATAAAAGGAGGGGGTTTGTAAAGAGAAGAGGAGTCTACTTCAGCCCCCTCGTCACCTTTAACCGTCCCCTGGACTTTAATCTCCTGTTCCAACTCTTTCTGGTATTGACACACTTCTCGTTCCACCAGAGAAAGATCAGACTGGTAGAAGGTTAATTGGGTTATAAAGGGGATAGAATGGTATAATATGGGTATACATTTTGTTTTCAAATTAACATCAATACCAGGAATGTTTAGTTACTAAATTGAAATAGACGTGATAAGAATCTAAATTAAAAGCACACCAATTATATTTATCGAACTGTCTCCACTCTTGACATTCATCATCACATCGGGTTTCTATTCACTACATACCTCTCGGGATTTGTTCTTTATTTTAAGAGCTTTAAAAGCGGGAGGATCTTCCTCTTCTCCCAGATCAACATTCTCAAATTCCTCAATACTCAGTTTACTACTGGGAGTCTCTGAAAACTCCTTCAATCTGAGAATATCGAACTTACAAAATACTGTTGAAGTGAAAATATTACGGCCCTACTAACACAGTTATTAAGGTGTATTTATTCATATTATCAGTAATCACGTGTAAGTAGAGGTATCTGAAGTTTAGTGAGAATTATAGTTTTCCTTAACCCATTTTGGTGACATTTTAGCACAATTAAATATATACTGTAGTAGGTATACAATAAAGCAAAGAAGCTCAATTCTTATTGAAATCAAGATATATACATCATATGACATATCTGTGAGGTAGAGGTCGTTCACATATTACGTAATCAGCCGAGGGGGAGGGGGCTTTCCAAATGATTACACTAGTGTAATTTCGACACAATACTAATAGCTATGTGTTAAACTGATTACGGAGGGGGGAGGGGGTTAAAAATTCTCCAAAAAGTGATTACGTAATATGTGAACGACCCCTTAAATGTGCACCTGAAATTAACAATCAAATACATCTGATTTACATACAAAGTCATTGTTAATATCGTATGATATTAGCATAGTGTTTGAAATCATCGGATAAGAATTGTTCGATATCTTCTAGCGTTGAATTAAAGCCTGGATATAGCAAAACTGAACAGTAAACTCTAGCTCGAGATAAAGTTAAGTATAGGGAAGGGAGGGAAAATTCCGCGAATTCATGTACTGCTATAACTGCTGGCCATTCGCATGAAGAAGTGAGTGAGCTACCACGCAAGGATAAAGTATCAGCAGTTCCTTCACACCTATATTTTGCTACTTGTATTTTTGCTAATCTATCTAGTGTATCGATTGAGGCATCCCCAATCACGTGGAAAAGTAGAGCTGTATCATACTGTCCCAAAACATTTCCCCGGTCCAGCTTGCCGAGCTCTTTCTCTATGAAATTAGATATCATGTCTGAATCGTCGTTCTTAAAAACATGAATGTTGATTTTTGGTCCTCGGATGAGATGACCTGGTGTTTGTTGAACGATGGTGCTATAGGAATCAAATCTTCCTGATCTCATGTGGTCCCTCATCACTGACAAACATTTCGATATTTCGTAGGTATTTCTCAAATTCTTTGATAGAGTAATTGTATGAAAGGGGGAATATAATGGTAGTATAGAGCCAGGTACGCTCAGACAAAGGCCCTGTGCAATGTCAAAACTTATCCAGATATGACGATTGTCCTGATCCTTTGACAGCGAAGAAACAAACATATCGATGGTTTGGTTCGTTTTCTCACTGTCCTCAAACTGTAACACACATTGTAGATCGTCTATAAACAAATCACAACCATGATGTGAATTTAGTTTTTCTGAAAACTGTTGGTCAATTTCTTGATTAGGAACCGCGTCAACACCCATAATCGGAAATGTAATAATTATTGCTTGCTTGTTAATTAATTTGTCAGACAATGTCTCCAACATTAACTCACCCATCTGCAACATGGTCCGAAGGGCAGTGTCCTCAATGGAAACTGTTAAATTGCTAACGCTTGCTCTTTCAAAAGCAGTTTTAACCAACTTAGCAGCGGTGTCTGAACTGAAAAAAATTATTTTTCTATTTTCATTCGACTTTGCAAGTTGTATTGCTTTAGCAATGAGTATAACACTTTTACCCGTTCCTGCGGGCCCTCTGATGAGAAGTAGCTGTTCCTTTGAATTGTAAGCATCAAACTGTTCTTTAGTGAGGTTGTTCACTCCTAGGTAGTCCCTAATGACATTTGGGGCTGGGATGACGTTTGGATTGTTTTTCCTGAACGTAAAACTTCCACTGCGCAGTTTATCATCAATATTCTTGATACACCATCCTAAGCTGCACTTGGATTTATCACAGCGGCCCTTATTATCTGTACACCAAATTGCAAGCAGCATGTTCCTGACTTTCTCATGTTTTGCACGAAAATCACGGTTTCGTGCAACAGACTGATTCGATGGATCTATGTCAAAACCCTGAAACGTTGTTGCTCCACCATGATGCGAAATCTTCTGTATCTTCTTTGAATATAATCGATGATAGCTGACCAGGCTTCAAATCTAATTCTGCGCATGACTTTTTCAAGAAGTTAGGAAAAGCAGTAAAGGGAAAGATATTTGTGTGCCTCTCTATACTTCTGATTAAGTCTACCATTCTTTTTCTCTGTGTCATCGATTCCTTGTGGGATTTCTGCAATCCTGCCTTATGTTGTTGTTTAGTTAATGCTGGATTTTGCTGTGATTCTTCACTAAAACATGACTTACTCTTAACTTCAATGATGACAAAATGGTTTTTTCCTATGATCAAAAAATCGCATTCTCCCTCGCGATTGTTGAGATTTTTTCGGCAAGCCACACACCTTTTTCTAACATGACTTTTATCGCACAAGCGATATTGACGGTGAGTATGTTCGAAATTGTGTAGAACGATAATGTCTTCCTCTGACCCCTCCAACGCTCTATAAATTATAACTTCAGTCTCATAGTCTGATTGACGTTTTTTATCATCTCTAAAACTCGGTCCAGGTCATCTTCGTCTGGGTAGATGTCAATATACGTGTGTCGTGGAGCTTTAGGTAGCATGATTGGGCGTGTTTCTGTTGACGAACAATACGTTTCGTAAATATCTTGTCCTTTTTCAAGATATTTTTCCATCTTCAGGTATCTAATCCTCTAAGAATTACGTTTAATCGAATTGATTGAATATTTAATTGAATAATCGAACGAGTTGGGTACAACTTTGACTATATTAATGCTTTTCATGCAAACAAGTGAAAACGAACCTTTTGTGTCATGTATCCTGGGTTTGGATACCAACATGAGATAATGATATGCGATAAAAATCGCAAAGGTACGAACAATAAATCTGTTCTTATTAAAATATTCTTTCATTGTGCAATGTGCAGTAATCTAATCTGGAAGTGGAACGAATTACAGTGTGATAGCATGATACAGTGATATTTTCGCTGTTCATTATGGAGCAAAATACGACCAGGGTACGAATATAACAAAATATTGTAAGATTGAAGGATATGATTTCTTCGTCCCTAGTTTAAGCAGCTGCTGCACAACGAAGTCAAGTCTTACATAAACCAGAGTGTAGATCATAAATGAGTGTAGTAGACTAGTAAGTAGTAGATATAGAGGCCCCGTATACTGCACTGTATAGACTTAAGACATAAGGAGTAATTATGCCAAGTCTTCGATATATAAAGTATGTATAATATAAAGAGTAATGAATCATGAGCAACTGTTACTGAGTAACAAATAAAACAGAGTATTGTAATTCTAATGGATAATTAATCGGAATTGTAAACAAAGGAACTTACCGTTTCGTTATAGTAGCAGTGGCATTCCTCACTATTTTAGCGATGTCGCTAATCTGACGAGAACAGTTGTGAGTCTACAGGAAACTACAAGGCCGCTCCCAACAGAGAACTTGGCCGTCTGCCTGAACAAGAGATAATTCAGGACTCAGTGGTGGTCACTTAAATAACAAATATACAGCTTGTACCAGCGATGATTTACTTAGAGAACACCTGCGTTCTGATAGGTACCCAGACAACTGGTTAACATTTCCAGGCCCATTTTAGTTGACATACCAGTAAGCCATCCAGTCCCTCTTCATCCTAGAGACCAGTCTCATGGCAGTGACACAGATAACGTCGCTCTTATCTCCGAGCTGGAGACGCTGAGCGTACCGGCTGATGAAGAGACAGGGGTCGGCAGCAGGGAGCTTGATACACAGTGCGTTACAGAGACAGTGTAGACTCGGAGCAGCTGGAACATGTTATCCTGGAGAGGTAGAGAGAGGGGGTTTAGGGGGGGGGGGGGTTCGGGTTATGATCTTACAGTGTGTATAGGTGCCACGTTATGGAGACTAATGTTTACTTCAGTCTAATACTTCCTGGTCCATTCTAAAACTTGTCAGTTTGGAAACTCATGCAGAAACTTAAGTTAAAAGCAACTAACCCTGATTATTTCACTGAAATCCAGTAGAATATGTGGAGTATGTTCAGTCCGACACACAATGTATAGACACGCCGCGCACACGTGCGACTTTCTCTTTCCTTGTAATATTCGCTTACTGAAAAATATTACAAAATTGTTATCTATGTACATTGTACATAAGTTTCAAGAGTGACACCAATTTTAAGAGACTCTTCTTCCCAGAGAAAAGTACGGGAATTTTGAAATTTTCGGTATAAATGGTGAATCTCTTCCGTTTCGGTATCGAGTATTACTATTAACGACCCACCTTAAAGCCATCTTATAGAACATTACAGCACTGTCGATGTGTTGCTGAGCTAACTTCAGTCTGTTTGCTATACAGTGCATAACACGTGTTGCCTCTTCCACGATACGCCTCTGGTAGTTCTTGTGGCATCCTGAGGAGTAAAGAGATGAAACAAGTGATGAAACAAGTGTATTTCACATTCCACAGATTGTAGTGACTACGGCGCTCATTGAACCTAATGATGACGAATGAGTAACATCATGTTGGAATTTTTGGTCAAAAGCTGCGAACAATTACAATTTGCTAGGCAAGCTCCAATAATACTAACCGAATTTGTTAGGCAAGGCGCAGCCTCCAATAAATACTGCCATCGTCCGTTACCAAGGCTCCCCTCATGTGTTTCCTGCCGGATCCTCCCTCAGCAAACTGAGTCTCTGACACTATGATCTGGTGGGTTATCACGTGATGAGGTGTGGGACATCGGACATTCCAATAAAATATTAAATATTATTATATAAGTTATATAAACGTGGCCTGACACATTCATCAGAAATCATGTTAAAATACAATCCAGGCCTGCCTCTAGAAGAGATTACAATTTCTTCAGTAAAAGTTACCTGGTCCCCGAGAACATTTCCCCTCCCTACATATCGTGTAAACGTGAGCTCCCTTTCCCCATCCCCCTGTGTGCGCCACCTTTTTTACAGGCCCGGCCTGGGGACTTTACCACTTGTTAATTGGGTTTGCCCTATTTGATCGATTTTTTTCACCCCTTGCTTTACCACTTTTCACTATTTTTTACTATTTGCTTTCCAAAGTTGTATAGATAAAAAAGGTTGCGAGGGTTTTGATTGTAGGGATGAGGGAAAGAGCTGGAACACGCAATGAAGAAAAGGGGGCAGGGATTATTTAGCTACAATTAACGGGGGGAAAGAGGGAAACAGGGTTTAGATACTTGACGTTGAGGAGGATGAGTTCTTGAGGATGGTGTAGAAGATTTTCAGTTTTAAAGGTAAGGTTTGATATTCTTTGGTTTGGATAATTTTTGGGTTACAGTGCGGACGTCTTTTTTTGGGTTTTCCCCATCCTATAATTTTTAAAAATTTTAAAAATAAATAGTTAAAAAAAGGGAATTACAAATATTTTTTCTGGAAAATTTTCCTTTGTCCCAAATTTAAATTTAAATTTATTTTAATGCCGTTCAAACAGTCCCGGGCAACCCTTTTTTAAAATTAGATAGAATAAAATTTTCTTCCCAAAAATGTCATTAAGATATAAATTTTAAATTTTTGGTTCCCAAACCCGAAAGAAAAACCCCCCCGATAAAAAATTTTCAAAATTTTTCCAATTTCCCCCCATCTTAAGATCCAAAAAAAACAGTTGCCCCTCAAATAAGAATAAATTTTATGAACAAAAAAGAATCTTGACTTTTATTTTAAACCGCCCCCCAAACCCCAATTTTTTATTTTTACTAATTACCTTATCCCGATTGTGCAAAAGTAACCCCCCAAACCCCCAATAGTAGATCTTAAAACCCAAAACTGAAAAACCCCCGTTTTCAATTTTTAAAAATCGACTTAAAAATTTTAGCCTAAAAAAAATTTATTTTATTTTTTAAATAAATTTTAAAATTATCGGTAACTTGAAAACATGCCTGATTTGGGTTAGAGTTTTTAGTTGGGGCTGTTTCTTTTGTTTTGTTTGTCTCTGTCCCTTCTTGAAACCATCTTGCTGTTTTTACCCCTTAAAAAAAACGAGTCAGAAAGGGATAAAAGAAAGGTTTTGATAAATTTTCATAAAGGGAAAAAGGAAAATTCAATAGATGATTCGGGTTTTAATTTTAGCACGAAAATAAACCCTTCGACTGGGTGAGGGGAGATTTTCCCCAAATTTTACGAAAAACAGAAAAATTTTAAAGAGAAGCATAGCTTTAAAAAGATCTTTTGGGTTTATCCCCCTCCAAAACAAAACCTTTGGGGGGAAAATTCAGGGGCAGGGGGGCGAAAATTTTCCCGGGTGATAAAAACAGAAAATCCAGAGTTTACCCGAGCAAAATTTTGGGATTTAAATTTGCCAAACCCTACCCGCGAGTTTAAAATTTGGGAAAAATTATGTTTGTCAAAATTTTAAAAAAAACTATCGTATGATAGTCGACGATCAAATGTTGGATTGTAAAGGGAGTCTTTAGACTGTAAATATCAAAAAGGCCGACAAATTTAGTCACTAACCCAAAAAGTAGTCGATATAAATGATAAAAAAAATTTTTTTTGGGGCAACACAGGTCACAAAGATTAATTCTTTAAAAAAGTCGGGGAAAAACCCCACCCGACATATTCGATCCCGGGCCCCCTTTCCCCCCTGCATGTTTAAAGACCCGGGGGGGATTGAACGAAATTTGTTCATTTAAAAAAAAGAATTTTAAAACCTTTAGAAAAAATAAAATATTGAATATTAAGGGACGATTATTTTTCTAAATGTACCGGGGAATTTGTGGCACTGCTCAAAAAAATGTGCCCATTTTCCCTTTCCGAATGATTTACACTTTTTGTTTTTTTCAGGAGAAAGTCCCCGTTAAAAAATAGACAAAACAAAAATCCGGGGGAAATTTAAAGGGAAAAGGGTGATTTGTTTTCCAGGTGAAACCAAAAAAATCCATTTTAACCCCTGCGACAGGTTTACTGTCACTGAAATAAATTTCTAATTAATTTAATTTAATTTATGGGTAATTAAAAAATTACCTTTGGGTTTTGGGTTTTTGCAGGGCAAGGTAGCATTTTATTTAAGAATTGCTGAAAAAAACGCTGAATTTTTCACGATCATAGTTCTCAAAATTTTCATAACCCGGGTTTTTTTTCGGTTTTAAAAAATTTAGGGTAGGGCCCCGGTTTCCAATCACGAAAATCCTTGCTCCTTCGCATTCTCTTTCCCATTTTACTAAAAGTATTGTTATATTGTTTTTTATTTTCTTTCACCATTTTTGATCATCATTAAAAGGGGTTTTTTATCATTGAAATAAAATTTAAAATCCCCCATTTAAATTTCATCTGCCAAAAAAACTGGGGGGGCCTTGTGAAATTTTTTAAAAAAAAAAAGTTTAATAAACCAAAACAGTTGTTTTTAAAAAAAATTCCAAAAGCAGAAAATTTTAAAAAATTCAAGCTGAAAACTAAAAAAGAATTTAATTCATTTTCAAGTTGTTAAACCCAAAAGAGCCAAAATTTATCATTTTCGCTTTAAAAGGAAAAAAAAAGTAAATTATTATTTAACGACCCTAGAGGGCCAGGAGCTTTTGAGGGCCAGGGCGCAGCAATCTTTGCTTTTTATCTGGTTTTCCATTTTTTGGGGGTGGGGTTCCCCCCCCAGGAAACGGAATTTTCTGCCATTAAGGGGGAAAAAAAAGTTTATTTTTTTGTTGTAAAAGTTTCGTTTTGGAAACAAACTTTCCTTTTAGTTTCTTCCCGTTATTAAAATTCCTTTCTTTTTGGGGGGAATGGGGTTTCGTTTATCACTTTCATTTCAGGGACAGTATTTTTTTTGACTATTTGGGTTTAATACAGTATGTGTTTAAAAAAACCCCCCTGTTTGTTCTTTATAGTATTTCTACAAATTTTGTTGATTCAAAGGGGTCGTTGTGTATATTCGTCGGTTTCACTCTCTATGAAAAATTTAAGTATTAACCCTTTAACATTTAATTAAGTTACTTTTTTGACTTTTTAAACTGGAAAATTAAATCGTAATAATCCCTATCAATTCGGGGAGTTATTGGAAAAAAAATGGGCTCCCCTTTAAAAAAAGAAAAATTTTAAACCTTTTTGAAGCGCATTTTGAGTCGTTTGCCCCCCCTTTTCATGGTTTCCGGGAAGGGGAAACCGTTTCTTTTGTTCTTTCCTTTCCTGGGATGGCCTTAGCGGTGGGGTTTTTGGGGAAAAAGGTTAAAGGTGGTGAAGGTTTTTGGTTGGCAAGGGAGTTATCACGCTCTATGGGGGGGGCCCCGGGGGTCTCCCCTGTGGTGATAGCCTTCTTCAATCCCCCCCTTCACACTGGATCAGAAACCTGAAGAAGTGTTAGAGTTAAAAGAGCCCGGTTGGGGTGTTTGAATTTGTTATAGTTTGGGAAAACGGAGTTAGATTTTAAAAAATACCGAGTTAAAAATAAAATAATTTTTATACCTAGCGATCATGTAGCCGGTCCTGTTGATGCCCTGGGGTAAAAAGAACACCAACCCCCATATTCCTGTTTAGGGAAAACGTAAAAAAAACGTACAAAAATCCTTTGGAAAAAGATGGAACAGTTCCCATTCGGAAACTCGTGACCCCGGGCCCCATGATTTGGGTCCGTTTGGGTCCCCTACCGCTCGAAATCGGGGTTTTTAGTATTTTGGGTTTTGAAAGTTAGGTTGGGACCAGACCGGGGGTTTTTTGCGGCCGTTTTGGAAAAATCTTTTTTACTGCCTGCCCGCAGTCTTGTGGTGTGAATCGGATGTTTATTTTTTATTTGAAGGGAGGTAAAAAAATGAAAAATTGGGGTTGGGGTGAGACTTAAGAATTTTCAGAATTTAAAAAATGCAGATAAGGGGTTAAATTTAAAGTTTATACGAGGGGAAGTATGTAAAAATACCCCCAGGTGTTAGAGTGCTAATAGCCCCCTATAGCCCCCTAAAAAATTGTACCCCTTTCCTTTAAAAATGGTAAATGAAAAAAAACCCAAAAATAACCTTTTTTTAGGGGAGTCTTGTTTTCTCACTGTGCAGTTTCCCCTTTGGGGGGGAGTCTTGAAGGCCTTTTTTAGTATGGGGTAAACCCTTTCCCCATTGGTTCGTGTCCACCCCCAACCCCTTTTGGACAGCCCCTACTTTTTACAGGAAATTGGGCACCGGGGGAAAAGGGTTTCATAAATAGAGATTGCTGAATGAAAAAGGTGGGGGTTTTAAAGTAATATTGTTTAAAATTTAAAAATCTAAGGGTTTGGGGTTAATTTTTAAAAAATTTTTTAGAGAGCTTTTAAAGAAATTTGGTTTAAAAAGCAGGGAAAAGCTGAGAAACTTGGGAAAAAAGGTCAAACGCAATGCGAACTATTGGAAAATCTTGAGTTTTGAAATTCGAAAAAAAGTTGATTTGGGACCCTAAAAACGTCGTTATAGGGTTTTGGTAATTAAAAGAAGTTTGGGGGTTAAAATGGTAATTTTTTCAAGATTAAAAGAGTAAATATTTATGAAAAAATTTTAAAAAAAAAACACGATAACCCCGTTTTTTTAGTCCTTTTTGTTTCGTTTTTTTCCCTGCAAATTACGGGTCCAGGTTAAAAAAATTTTTAAATTCCCCCCACGCGGTGAAAAAATCCCATTTTTTTAAAATGGGTAG